AAGGGGGAAGGATGTGCAGTCTTCAAGATATATCTGCTTAGTAGAACAGTACTATCAGCGTGCAATCTGGGATTGGAATTGCAGATTACTGTTTGTGTTCATGCGCAAAAGAAAGCAATAAGCGCGTTCATCCTCGGCGTTGAAGATGACGATTCGATTGGATGGTATTGAAACTATTCGACAGAAAATCCACAGAAAAGTAAAATCATATGGAACGCTTTTGGAAGATTGAAAATGTTCGTATCCGAGAAGCTGCTTTCTGCTCTTTTCTCTAAACAGAGAGGTTCCGTTTCGATTAGGGCGTATCTCCATTGGTGACGTCAGGATGCGAAAGGTCACCCCTATGCCAGAAAGCTATTCAAAGCAGCATGGAAATGTGTATGGTTTGATTAATAACAAGAATAGAAAGGCATACGAGTGCGTAAAAGCAGCAGTCTACGATATCAGTGCACAATAATCCATATGAAGAAGTGGCAATGAACGGGGCACGTTGCAAAAAGAACTGACCATCATGACCAAAGAAAAATTGGCTGGGTTCTAAAAGACTGATGTATGAAGGAAGATTAGGAGATCGATGGAAGGTAGAATTAAAGAAATTTGTTGTAGACCAGTGCTAAAATCTTGGATGTCTTTGGAAGATATCTGTGAGAGTCTTTTATGAACCCCGAAATATTGACTAGCAAGACAGTGGTGTGCCAGGTTGACAGACCTCTTGTTCTTAAGAAGTTTCTCCATAAGAGTATCATTCCAAAGCTGAAAAGAGAATAACGAAACATTGCTCTCATTTGCACAGAGGTCAGTACCTACTGTTGAATAAAAGAAGCATCGAACTTGGAAATGACAACGCAAGGTGCACAGCACATACGCCACAAATGTTCCACCGTGCGTATGTGGCGTGACTGTCAAGTTTAGACTGAAAGTGAAGTTACGATTCGGTTACGGTAGAAGCCAAGGCGCCTTCAAAAGACACTACGCACGACGTTACTGTACGCAAAAAAATGAAACCCACCAATCAACGCCCGCTTAGCTGGGTAAATAATTCTCGCAAATCCTTCACCAGATGTCAGTTTCGAATGTGAAGGACGTCGCGCTGCCGTCGTTTCGAAAGTAACAATCCCTCAGCGGCATTCGTTTATACTTAAATTTCAATCAGCAACGTTTCATTTTTGCGCTCATGACCGTTGGACACCGGCCGAATCCCATTCGGCCTTAATCGATCGATAAACCCAACGGCTTCGGCTTTCGACTATACGCTTATGTGGCGAAATGCCGCTCGTAACTGTATAATGTATGATGGCTTTGTCGACATCAGCCGTTCCACGGTAGCAAACCAGGGAATCTTCGTTACAACGGTCAAACGGCTGTCATTTTCATACGGGTGCACCGTCAAACGCCAACGTTTCAGCATGAGATCACACGTGACATGAAATGATATACGTTCTTAAAGCTGGTTGCTCATTAAGGGTAACAACTTGATTCCAGCTAAACAGACACAAAGAAAGTTGTGCTACTCGGATGTCGGGGATATCGTTCGATCGGTCACTCGGTCAGCAGTTTTCTGCTTAGAGGGTGGACGACATGATGTATCATTTTACGCCAGTGTTTTCGGTATTATGCGGTTCTTGTGGCATAGATAATGCTAATTAATGCATCATGTAAGATGTCGGCCGTCCAGCGTTATCTTGGTCTAGATCCCTGGTCAAGCCTTGCAGTACAGTTTTCTCCAAGCTGTCGTAGCTGCTTCTCTCGCGACGCGACCAACATACTGTAATTTCCCATTTCTTATGCTTCTCAGGAGCGAGCGCTGACTGTCAAATCGTCTTATGACCCGGGTACATCAATAGCATAGCGTTATAACGGATACAGCTGCATCAGCTGAGATTTTGGAAGGTAGCTGAACTATATAAATGCCTTCGCACTGGACTGCTTTCCGTCTTAAGTGTCATCGATGTTCATGGCGTAGGCAACGGGCAAGGTGTAATTTACGAATCGAAGCTATATGAGAACTGATCAGTAGAAAAACATTTTAGTACCCCTTTACTAAAACAACCTCACTTCATCCATATGGCGGAGTAATGGTGAAAGAAAGCAAAGATCAAGTACGATATTGCGTGTAAGGCCGAAGTACGGTGTTTATTCTCTATAGTTTCCTAATAACGCTGAGTGCTTGTCATGAACTCAAGGAGGTCGGTCACCCGGGGGTAAGAACTTTCGAAGTTTCGATAAGGCAAATCTGTCTAACAGAGGATACGGTGATCACAAACAACACAGATTGATTACAGATTACCGCCCGTAGTTGCCACAAATAAGAACGAGTAGAAGCATCGTACCACGTATCCATTAATATCTAACATAAGTGTCGAAGGCTGACGTTTTAATCGATAAAAAGCCAGACTCGTAACCGAAAGATCGTTGTTAAGAAAACCGATAGGTAACTGGCCTTTCGTCTATTCTTGATAATATCGAGTACCAGCACGTGGGAAGGAAGTAGAATACAAATCGTCATAATGGTAAATGATCTGTAGCGTTCACAAATAAGGCACTCTCATCAGACGGCCACAGCCTGATTATTTCGTTCGTGCGTTCGAAATCGTACTGAAAACCACATGTTAACGATACAGTCAGCGGGTGAGTAAACAGTACCACTATTTTGGCTGATCAATCTCAAGGTAAAGAGGATTCACTTTCAACGTTTTCCTGTGATTCGCAGCTGTTGTAACGACTGAAGCAATTTTTAACAGAAACTGACATAACCTCTGGCATTACGAGTTGAGGAACCTGTAGACGAAACAAGTAAGTGAATACGTCCGTGGCACTTCCTCTGTAGCCACAGCTTCGGTATAATCATCTCCACTAAACCAAATCAAGGAACAGAGAAATCTTAGGAACGACCTGATGTGTGTTCCATCGAAGAAAAGAACACGCGTCAGATATGAAATAGACAATTAGATAAAACCCACCGTTGCCGGTCCAAAACCTGGATGATAAAGGAGGAAAGTCAGGGACCCGGGCGAGGTCTCCCGTTTAGGCGAACCACCTGTCCCTCATGGTATTGTCGTTATCGAATGCTACACTGGCCCGGTTAACGCACAGATTACGAAGGACCGCGCAGGTTGTTGCAGAATTGAGGCAGGCTGGGAAAGTCAGCGACCAAAAACAACTTTTCGCTTTCTCGCAGTTAGGGGTGTAGCAGAACGACGATAGCAGTCGAAGATGGACGAAACGACAACAAAGATACCAGTCAGCAACGGAGTTGCTAATCATTCTGAACGGAGGAGGCAGACAGCGCGATGCAATTATAGCACACCAGAAAAAGGCTCCACGAGAACGACACCGCCAGTGGCAGCTCACAGTCGGAAATTGGAATATATCATCACTCAGAAGGAAAGAACAAGAGTTAGTTGATGAGGCCACAAAGTACCAACTCGACATTGTTGGACTCTCGTCAACGAAGCGCCAAGGCTCTGGAATCCTGAACCTCTGCGGGTGGAAGCTCTTCTACTTAGGTGTCGATGTCACGACGCGCGCTGAGGCCGGCGTTGGTGTTCTGGTAGAACCCAACCTCGCAGATAATTTTTGATTGGAAGCCTGTTAGCGGAAGGGTGGCAATGCCCTGACTGAAGCTACAACAGGCTCATGCGTTGACCTTGATACGGGTCGACGTGTCTGATTTAAAGGGCGAATATAAGTCTTTCCATGAGGAAGTGGAGTGTGATCTGTACGAAGTGCCGAACACGAAGTCCCTCATACTGATGGGCGATTTTAATGCGCATGTCGGAGTAGACAACGCTGAAAACGACCCTAGCGACCTGAACAATAACGGCATGAAGTTGTTGCGGTTTTCTGCAAATAATGGACTGTTCATTATGACCACCTTCTCAGAACATCGAAGTGTGCATCCGTACACCTGGTACCGGGAAGCTTGTGCACAGAAGTCGATGATCGGTTTGATAATCGTATCCTCCTACTTAAGACGCTCAGTAATGGATGTTGGCGGTAAGAGAGGCATACAATGGTCAAATGATGACCACCTTATTGTTGGCAACCTTCGCACAGAAAAGGAATACCGTGCAAAGATTTGGCAGCAGAAATAACAAGAGAATTAAATGGGCAAAACTTGCAAGCAACATCGCACGACGGTTTCAGCAGATCCCAGAAACGAACGTTGATGCGGAAACCAAGTGGCAGCTGCTCAAGAGAGGCTTACTCGGGGTTGCCGCAGAACTCTGTGCTCGAAAACGGGTTGGCCTGCCGTCCGGAGGTCAGAAACAAGTGGTTCAATTGGCAATCAATGATGAGAAGGCCGTGTTCATAAAATGGCTTTGAAGCAAAGAGCCTTTAACTCAAATGCGGTACGAATAATCACGAAATGTGGCAGTGAAAGCAGTGGTGAAGGCTAAAGCCGAAATCTGGGAAAAGTTGTGCGGGGTACTGCAGTGGAATTTCCAGACGGCAGACAATCCGCAGCCTCTGAGATGCAAAGAAGGACTTGAAGGAAATGTCTGACCAAGAATGAGGACATAATTTGGAGTTGGAGAGAATATCTTCAAGAACTCCTTAACCCCAAGGAAGATTCTCCTGACGGGCAGCAGGCAACGGTTGTTAGTTTGCCAGTAGACGAAGTCACAGAAACTGTTAAACGTCTTGAAAAATGGCAAGGCTGCCGGAATCAACAAAATCTGCATTGAATCACATAAAGCTTTCGGCGAACAAGGTGTGTTGCGGCTAACGTATGTCTGTCAAACTGCAATGGCTACGAAGACGCCAGTGCATTGGCGAAA